ATGTGAACCCCAGCGGCGGCATTTTTGACGTTTATATTTCTGCTATCGTCCTTTTGCACCTCATCCTATCCTACTCGTTCAACCCGTCAATATTTACGGAAACAAATCTGTAAGGGATACATAGAAGAACGTGCTTGCACATACTAGCTGAGTGTAAAAACTCAATTCGAATTCGAAATATTACTCTACCATGACCCAAATCATATTTTTTTACAAATATATATAGATAAGTATAAACATTCATATACGTGAAAGTTTTTTTATTGTTCTGACGTGACTGTTACCACACATATACAAAATAGTCTAGGCATGTATCCACGTTTATTATATGGTAACTTATTGAACACATGCTGCCTGATATGTATTAAAATACAAGGTGATTGATTTATCATCGACCGGTGAAATTATCCTAAAATAATAATAATATTTTTTTAGTTATTTCTTTCTCGATTTATCAATTATTCAGTACATTTTAGTTCATCGCTTATACCTTAAAGGGTGTCAACTTTATTTTTTCAATAATAGCATACATATTTTAGTAGATTAAATATTTTTAATGAAAACTGGACACGAGGTGTAGATTATATTATTACTATTATTAGGCATTTCTTGGTCGAACTCCTCCTGATTAGAAGTTAAACTTACGAAATATTGGTCCAAAATTTGTCATCGAGCGGTCATTTTATTAATTAGAATACCATCAAATAAAATTCACTATATACGTTTCCGTTAAAAATAATTAGTTCATACTTTTATAATAAACAAAAAATAGACTTATAATTACTTAACAATTTATAAATCAAGAAATAGTTACTATTGAAAAAAGCAAAAAAAATTTTCAAAATTGTTATTACTTTAGAATAATATATAAAGTTGTGGTCAACGATAAATCTTTGACTCTGTATATACCAAGTTCTAACATATTTTTTATAAATTCTGATCCAATTATATTATTTAATTTTTGAAAACGTTCCGTAACAACTGACAACTTTTAACCTACATCAAATTAAAGCTTTTGAAGTGTATTACAATTTTAATACGGCTGTTGAAGATTGGTCTTAGGAAATCGTATGAAAAAAAGGCACAGTACGTGTTTAAAATCCGCAACCTAAGTCGTCGTAAAAACAAACCTTACCACTAGGCCACCATGCACTTAAATAATTGCATTTTTGAGTTTAATATTTTTAGTTTTTAAATTAATAATATTTTATTATAGTTTTAATTTTATTTAATGCAGTTAAAATTCAGATCTTAATACACTTTCATATAGATTGATAACGCAATGTACTACTGAATTAAACACGATACTGTGTTAATATTAGAAAAAAAATTATCACAAGTGTTCTATTATGAAAATTCAGCCATAAAAGTTAAAAATTCCCAATTTTTAAAAAAAAAAAATTTGAATGATTTTTGACTTTAATTCATCTTGGTAGGTCTAGAAATTTTTAATTTAAGTTTTAATTCTATGTTTATATTATCTTAAGGATTTAAGAAAACACAGCTGTAAGAGTAATAAACGGGTTTCGTGTACTTCATAATCAATAATATTTTTATCTCTAATCCCAACTTGCACTCAAAAATAATTTAGAAAATAATTACGCATAGCATTTATTGTAATATTTCGTTTTATTGGTTTTTCTAAAGATGTTATTATAATGTAGTTTTTGTATTTAAAATCATACTAAAATTAACGTTGTTCAGATACAAACATTTCCATAATACACTTCTATTTTAACAAACACACATTTAAATGCAATAAATTACAAAAAACAAAATGTTCTTTTGCAAACTAAGAATAAATTACTTTAAAAAGTACAAGGGTAGAATAATTTCTCTCTACTGCAAAAACTTTTTTTCAACGAAATACATTTATAAATGTCCGTCTCATTTGATTGGGGTTCAAAAGATACTTTTTTAGCGTTTCTGATGTTCATAAAAAATATGTACATATCATTAAGATCAAATTTGAAATTAATTTACATTATAGAATTGTACTATAACACATTTTTAAAATACATAAACATAAATTATAATAATTTCTTTAAAGCTTATGGTATAATATGGAGAATTGATAATGAAAATGTGAACATCTGTTAATTTGAGTAAAATATTATTAAAACGCAAAATGTTTGAATCAAACACAATAGAACCAACCTTATATGATACATTAAATATATTACATGTTAAAGAAATAATAAATAGTCTAGAAAACAACTAAAAAATTATTTAGATTATTCTTATCTAACCAATGGGACAAATTCGAAATAAAACTTAACATTATTTGCCAATAAATGACAATTTAAGTTATTTTATACACAATAATTCTTTAACCCTAGCCACTCGATTAATTCTAAAATAATTATATTAAGATAATTATTTTTTAAATTCATATACATTGTTTTATTAAATACTTTTTTGATTTATCCCTTATACCTAAAATGGTGTTAACTTTATATGTTTAAATGACAATATACATATTTAACAAGCTTATAACATAATTAAGAAAATGACTGGTTGATAATAATTTTAGACCAGTTATTTCGGAAGTTATTACCATTTAAAATTATAGACTAATGATAGGTATGGGTATAATAATATATACATATTCTTAGACATTTCTTGACGCACCTCTCCTCTTGCTTATGTATAAAATGTTAATAACTTTCGAAGTACTTTAGTCAATACAATAACAATAGTTGTTATCAACGAGTCATTTTCTTAATTAGATCTTTTTTTTTATTTTAGGGTACATCAATTCTTATTACCTTAATTATATTACGACTACAAATTTTATGATCTATAGGTATAATACATGAACACATACTTATTGTAGTAATTAAAATTAGTATGAAATTGATATTCAATCATTTTTTATTTAATTTTTACGAAGAAATTATAAAAATGTATAAAGTATTTGTGTATTTCGTTTCCTCTAAGTGTTTACCAAATTATATTAATGTAACTATGGATTTATTAAAAAAACAAAAAGAAAAGAAAATTAACTTTCTTTTTTCAATTATTCTGAACTTCGTGGGTTCATTAATATTTCAGTTACTAACTCATAAGCCATTGGTAGCTAGAAAATTTTTTTTAGAAAACAGTTGCCTCATTTTAAAACACTAAATAGATTGCTATTAAAAATTGCAAACATTCTCCCTAAAAGTTATAATTAACGCTTAAGTAATTTTTATTATTATATTTTTTTTTTTTTTTTTTAAAAGAGAATCTTAAATGAGAGGTATATACTCCTCCTCCTATTTGACTATACTGTTTGACCTATAATATAGACATATATATTTAACAAAAAATGTATATAGAAATTAATAACAACACGCAGAACGGTTGAAAAATGTCATTTTGGTTTCAAAATGAGACTTTTTGTTTTAATTCGAGGGCTGTTTAAATATAGAAGACAAGACATCAGGACAATTTTTTTAAAAACGTATAGTATGTAACATAAGCTTTAATTTAATATATGTTTAAAGAACGCAGTATTTCTGAAACATTGTAAAAAGTTTATTCTAAATCTTTACCGGTGGTCAGATTTTCAAAAAATTTATACCAAATAAAAGAATAATACCTAAGGTAATTATATGAAAAAATTGTATTGTCTAATTTTAAAAAACTTAAAAATTGTCGACATTTACCGATTTTAAAAATCAAAATATTTTTGGAAATTTCTCCTTTTTACACGGAATGAGGGGAATTTTCAAATTTTAAAGGCAATATCTTCAACGAGATACGATTTTTATTCTTTTAACGTATCGTTGAAAGAAATCAAACAGTTGAGAGCTGAGAAAAAGTGGCCATAATAATAAAAAAAAAATACAATACTGAAAAATTAATATCTTCTCATTTTACCATCAAAGCTAAAAATAGTTTCCTTAATATAATTATTATTTTATGAGAAATTAATTTGCTAGCATTAAAAGGATCACTCTTTTTACTGCATGAATAAAATAAGTTCAATCAATTATAACTTTATTAGAATAAACTTAAATACTCTTGTTTTGTGTTAATACACAATAAAAGTTTAAAATTTATCATACCTATGGTTTAATAATCATATTTTAACTACTAGCTAATAATTAGAGCACATAATTTATTTTTTGCACGCCATATATTATCATTTATAGTTACATCATACTACAAATATCATGTAATATCTACGTATCCTTACAAAATCATCACGATTTTATGTCACAACAATATACTTATTTGATTAAATTAAAGTTCTAATAAGTAATGAAGTATGATATATTTAAAAATCAATATCATGACACTTTCAACATTATTCTCATACTTACTCAGCGAAGATGTATATTATTTTATTATTGAATTATTACTACTCGTTTGATCGTGATACCCATATTAACTCTCAAATTTTAGTTCCAATAATTTGTATTATAGATTTATTAATGATTGATTGAGAAAAAAAACATAGAGTAGAAATAGTTATTGAAAAATATTAAAATATCAACCAACTGATAGTAATTCTATTTTTAGATCACACACTAGCATAGTTCTTATTATATGTATAGTTCAAGTATCGTAATATTTGTAATAAATATATTTTCTTTTTAAGTTTGATAAATCCTTATAAACGATGATCGCCTGTTTTTATTTTTTAATAAAATGAATACGAAAGGGATAACTAAAAACACATTGTATCGCTAAAATTGTATTTATACTACCTTTCTACTTATTTATATCAAAAAAAGTTTCTTTTACGACCTGGTATGTTTATGGAAAAAAATATGTGCCTTATTTAATACCCTTTTATTGATGTGGTTGTAATATAAATTTTACAATAAAGTTTAACAACAATAAATACAAGAACACCCCAAACACATTACACACATGATCAACGTTAGCCGCTGTACAATATTATATATCTAATCTCTTGTTACATAAACTGAATCAAGATTACCTAAGTGTAATGAGCTATGAGAAATACTTAATATATATCTTACTTAAAATAATACAGACATCAAAAATCATTAAAAAATGCCCAGAGTACGTTTGGTACTGTTAAAAAGATTCTATTTTAGTGTACATTTTTACAACTTTGATATCTAAGGCCAATCCTCTAGGGATTCTTATAGAATCTTAAAAATAACCCATACCAGCTAAGATCACACTACATTTTACAAAGAAAAACAACTAATCGTAAATTTACTATAATAATATACAAGTATAAAATCCATACATGAATTAAAATGTTAAAGCAAATACTCAAAAAGTCAAACAAAACATTATTCAACATACATTTTTCTTTAAAATAATTTTTTTTTTTAAATATACATAGTTCATTTGTACAGTGTCGTTAAAATTTTAAAGAAACATATCCATCTATCAAATTGAGGCCATTAATTTTATTATCCTTTGAGGTTCACGCTTGCATAAAATTGCTTTGCCGCACGGTGGCCTAAATATGATAAAAATAGTATGAATAAATTAGTATGATAAACTCAGAACACTTTAATAATAAATAAAAACGGCATTCAAACTAGAACTGAGCACATTTTTGGTGACCCGTAATCCGTCAATTCAAATTATGGATTGAAACAAAATTACGGATTGCTATCAAAATCCGTCAAAACAATTTGAATTATATGAAATGTGCAATATAATATAAATTTAATATTAATGAAATAATAACAGATGTTGGGTAATTAATATCTATTTTGTATTGCAAAATTATTATTTTACAAATGAATGATTTCAGTCTGTCATCAGAATATTTTTTCAATCTATATCGAATCGGATTAGAAATCTGGAACAGATCAATTCAGATTTTTTGCTCAACCCTAATTCAAACATATGAATTGACCAAATTTGTGAACTCTCTAGAACTAATCATTTTACTAAATATACATAGTAAATTCCACTTAGTTGATAAGTAACTATTTATAGAAAGTCTAAAACGTTAAATTAATATCAATACAAAAAATTAGATTACACACAAATATTTGCAATAACATTATTTAAGATCTCCAATACTTAATCCATATATTGTCAAAAGACAAATGAATATTATTTACCTTTAATAAAAAGTGTATATTAAAATCAGATTAACTACTTTCTATAATAATTGTTTAAGTAAAACACTAACTTCGATAGTTTTAGCTGGCTATAATTACAAATATATATAGTCTTATTCAATGATAAGCTTGACATTTGAATTATTTTATTTTACAATTTATTTTTTAATAATTATTGAAATAATGACAATTATTGTCATTATTAAGCTTGTATTAACTATAACAAGACCTCGTATTATCTGTGATTTATAAAGTACAGCAATAATACTGATACATTGTAGTGTGCGAATTAAATTTAACGTAACTTAATATAGACAAATTGTATTTAAACTTCACTTTTTAGTAATTTAACTAATCTATTTACCAATAAATTTTATAAAATAGTATTTTAAGAGAAATTTATTAAAAAATAAATAACAATAAGGGTGATTAAATGGTATTTGAGTAAAAATAAAATTTTTTTTTCTCAATTTCTATCACAAAAGACTAATTCAAATAATATTCAAGTTTAAAACTAATAGTATATAATCTATTTATTTATTAAGGAAAATTCATAAGAAAAATTGAATGAAAAAATTTTAGTGACGTAAATTTTTGTATTTAAATTTCTTCGACCTGAATTATAGTAATTACAATGACCAATAAAGAAAAAAACTATTCTTACTTTATCTTATTATTTTTGTCACTAAAAATGTTGTTATTTTATGGGGTTAGAGCACAGATTTATAATTGGTAAAATAAGATAAACAAAAATGTAAAACCCATGGAATGCTTAACAAATTTAATCAGTTTCCGTTTTATGTAATAATAAACTATTTACTGTAAGTTAAAAGTTGTATAGCATAAAATTAATAATTTTTCTATACTAATAAATAATATAGGGTAATTCATATTTTACTTTTAAGCTTAGCATATTTGAATTTTTTTAATATTTTATTTTAGTACGTAAGCAAATTCAATTTTGTATAAAATATATATTACTACATAATTAAACATTTGACCTAGATTTCAAATGAGTTATGTAACAATTATTAAGTAAATATCAGCTTTTTACTAAATAACTATTTTTTTTTTACAATATATATATACAATAATTATTATTAATTATATAATAATTATATAATTATTATATAAGATACTTACATCAATGTAGAAATAAAATAAAAGCATCACTACATTGTTTGGTGTTTTTTATTGTTAATAAATTATTTATTTATTTAATATAAGTCAATTTATTCCAATCAAATTCTTCCTAAATCAAAAAATAGTACATAACTTAAAGAGATGGTAAAAATCCCATTAACTTCACAATATCTATTAATATTTGATAATTTAAATGTTTAATTTAATAAAGTGGTATCTGTATAAAATCTATAAAATATTTTTCCAAATTCAGTACTTTTAAAGTTGAAGAATGTAAAAAAAGGTCTACTTTTTCATTTAAATAGGTCTATATTAGTTAATTTAGTCAGTACGGAGAAAATAAAAAAAAAAATTTAAGCTCTTGAGATCTAGGAAATAAAATATTTTTTACAATTTTACTATTATTTTTTCACAAGCAGATTATACTCGGAAAAAAATTATCGTTATAGTTAGTTTGACACAATCCAACTCACTGATAAATTAATTTTTTACAAAGAAAAAATTAAGTGTGATGTTTTTCTGTTGTTGTCTGCACTGGAAACATGGTTTTTTGTGCTACAACTAAAATCGTATATGATCGCCAATCCATAAGCCTACAGCAACAGATGTGGCTTAACACTTGCATTTATCAGCAAATACTGTAATAGTGCAGTTTGTTAACCCGGTCACATTATTCTAATACCACTCTAAAAATACTTAACTGGACATGAGTACTTTCGTTTGCATCTAATCGATAGTTTATTTTAATAACCGACGAAACGCTCCTTTCACTTTTAAAATAACATATATTAAACGAATTTAAAAATTTGGTATATTTTAGTTGATGCTTATGTATTGTTAGGGATCCGTTTAATACTTGGGAATCTTGGTCAAAACCAAAAATCGGAAGCTACCAAACGTCTTCCCAAATATTGCCCCTGTCTCCTGTAATGAGTTTTAATAAGCCAAAGGCAATACAGGCAATCGTATGCCTTAATAGTGATAGATTATAGAATAAAATTAAACTATTATTTTATGTCAACGACAAAGTACATTTAAGATAAATAATAGATTATAAAGAGTTAGTACATAAGAAAAAAAATTAAGCATTGTGAAATATAAACTTAACGTAATTCTAGTTCTACTATACTAAAATGATTTGAAGTTAACACATTATTCTAATTAAAAAAAAAGAAAACTGAGCTCAAAGTTCACTTTCTCAGAAAAAGTAAGGAGTATTTAACTTAATTAAATTCAGAGATGTCATTTTGAGGTAACAACATGGGCATTAACTCCTATCTAATGTTTATTGAAAATTGAGGTCCGTTAAATCGCACTCTTGCTAACTTTGCCATATTTTGAACAACCCCGTTAAGTATTAATAGTCAATAATAATATAGTGAAAATGAATTTTTATATAATGAAAAAACACCTAATAATTATATTTAAATTTTATTATGATTCTATAAGTTCTTTCATAGAAAATTCTATTCAAAATTATTTTAGTAAAACTTCTATCATGATAACTTTTATAATATAATAGAGTCGAATTGTTAGAAAATGAACTTTGGCTTTGTGAAATCATGAGCCGGACAAAAATTTATCCACCCTTGAAAATCTGACATTAACTTTCTTTGATTAAATTAACTTAACATATTAATGAGTTATTTCTCAGTCTTGACTTGCACCTCGTGTCAAGTCTATATTCAAAATTATTTAATCCATTAAAATACGTATATTATCATTCAAAAAATTAATTTTATATACTATACATTTTTTAGCTTCGATGCGAAGCTGAGAAGCTATTAGTTTTACTATGATGTGTTTTTTTTTGTGTCTGTTATCACTTTTTCTCAGCTCTCACCGAACGGATTTCTTTCAACGATACGTCAAAAGATCACAAATCGTATCTAGTCGAAGACATTACCCTTAAAAATTGAAAAATTTTCCCTCGTTCCCCGTAAATGGGGGAAACCTCCAAAAAAATTACAAATTTAAAATTCGCTAATTTTCGAAATTTTTTCAATTTTTTTTACTTAAAAGTGCCGTAACTTTTTCAAAAATGAACATATCAATATAATTTGTTTTATATATAGATTCATGATATCATTACCTTTCATTTGGTATATTTTTTTTTTATATGTGACTCTTTACTTGCCCACAGGGGGGAATTTAAAATGACAACTTTTTTACAAAAAATTAATTTTTTCAACTTGATTTTTGAAAATGTTCCGGAAGGTCTGACACTTTTATATATATCTTAAATTAAAGCTAGTGTAATATACATTATCATGAAAAAAGAAAATTTCGGACTTTATTTTATCTTCATGGTGAAAATGGCTACTGAATGCTATTTTTGTGTGAAAATTTTCGATTTTGTATTTTACATTTTTAACTTTATTATGCTATAACTTTTTGAAAAATGTATGAATCATTACAATTTTTTTATGAGAAGTAGTATTTATATAGATCTTTCATTCGACATACTGTTTTTTTAAATCGGACCATTTCCCTAAATACAGGGGGGATTCAAAACATAAAAATGCATATAGAAAGTAGAACTTTTTCAACGTAACTTTTGAAAGTGTTCCGGAAGGTCTGACACTTTTATATATATCTTAAATTAAAGCTAATGTAATATGCTTTATCATAAAAAAAGAAAATTTTGGACTTTATTTTATCTTCACGGTGAAAATGGCTACTGAATGCTATTTTTGTGTGAAAATTTTCGATTTTGTATTTTACATTTTTAACTTTATTATGCTATAACTTTTTGAAAAATGTATGAATCATTACAATTTTTTTATGAGAAGTAGTATTTATATAGATCTTTCATTCGACATACTGTTTTTTTAAATCGGACCATTTCCCTAAATACAGGGGGGATTCAAAACATAAAAATGCATATAGAAAGTAGAACTTTTTCAACGTAACTTTTGAAAGTGTTCCGGAAGGTCTGACACTTTTATATATATCTTAAATTAAAGCTAATGTAATATACTTTATAATGGTAAAAAAAAATTTCGGACTTTATTTTATCTTCATGGTGAAAACAGACATTAAACTTAATAAAAAAAATACGATTTTTGTAAAAAAATTCTTTTTTATATTTTTAACTTTATAATGCTATAACTTCTCGAAAGATGTATGGATCAATATAATTCTTTTTTTTGTAGATGCATGATGTCTTTACCTATCATTTGGTATATTTTTTTTATAAATCTGACTTTTTACCTGCCTACAGGGGGGGATTCAAAATGAC